TATTACAAGGGCTGTGTTAAAGTTCCTTGCTGTTGACAGTTTCATTACAGGTGATCATTACACCCACCCGAGGCTGCAGAGTTTCTCCTCTCAAATGAGAGAGCACAAGAGAGAGGCTGAAGTCTAAAAGATCAGTTAAAGTTTGTCCTGCTGTTACCTAATGCAAGACCAGCTGTACCCTCTCCTTCTCACGTGCCTAGTTTTGCTTTCTGTTGGAAACACTGCAGTAATAAAAAGCCAAAACCAAGAGACACTTTCTTCCCAGCTCTCTTCAAAACAAACAATTGTAGAAAGGAAATAACTCCCTCAAAAATGAGTTCATAAAAATGCTGCAGGACAGACTCACACACAGGCACAAGTACACTGAGCAGTCACTGTTTCAGCAGAGCAATGTTGTTTTATGAAAACATTCACTTACAATTTGATTCAAATGCCATCAAAACTTTAAGGTGGAAAACACAGGTAACCTCTGTCCCAGAATACTAGTGTTCAGTGGTGGAAAGTTCAGTCAAACAAAGTAAAGCAACAGGAAGTCAACTGAACGGAAGAATGAATTAAGGAAAATCAATTAGAAGCAGTTGAGCAACACAGCCAAACACCAAGGCAGCCCAGAGATATTTCAATCCTAAACCAAGCAGGTGACTCTCAGAAGTCACACTGAACAGCAGTGATTTGAAGTTGTCAAGAAACTATCTCCATAGAAGGCAATTTTAGCATAAATTTACCTCCAGAACTGGTCCAGCTCCTAGAATAGTTCTCTCCACACCACTCGCGTACCCTTTCTGGCTCAGTGCCGTGAGACAGTGAATTAAAAAGTTTGTGCTTTGGGTTTTCCCAGACCCACTTTCACCTGATATAACAATGCACTGATTCACGTGTTTTTTAAGCATCGTGTGATAAGCCACATCAGCAATGGCAAAAATGTGAGGCTCCAGCTTCCCAAGCTGATGATTCTCATACATCTTGACGTATTTGGGATTATAAATGGGCAGGAACTTGAAGGGGTTAATTGCAATCAGAATACTTCCTGCATAGGTATAAATTTTGTGCTTCAGGAAGCGGCATTTGAGATTCTCTAGAAGCGTTGTCTCCGTTAAGTTAGGGAGATTGCACAAGTCATCAAAGTCCTCCTGATGCCATGGAAGAAAACCCCTTTCGACCAACCGCCGAGCATCTGTCTCCTTGGAAACCAACTGCATCTGGACATACTTGATGGTCCCATCAGTGTTCCTTTCTTGCAAAAGAAAATAGTACCCATCCTTTTGAGGATGCTCATCCTGAGCACGACGAGGCCAAAGTAACACCCTGTGAACAGGGGAATCATTTATATCAAGTACCCATTCTTCACCACCTGATTCTTTCACCTCCACAAGCACATAATGTTTTGAGACATCCAAGTTTAAGATATTAATCACATCCTTGATGACATCTGAAGATGTGCTGTCCTTGGTTGCTGTCACTTTGCAGCAGGGAGCACTTTCTGTTGAGAGTTGGGGGTAAATATGAAGATTATAGGCTGTCTTTGCCTGGCAAACTGCACTGTCAGCATCTTTCAAACTCATTCTGTCCCCAGATGGGCTTCAGTCTTCCACCCCTGCTTAATGTGCAGTGCCCATTGTCTGAAAGAAAACAGATCAAAGTCAGGTGTTAAAAAAAATGTGTACAAGAAGTATTAGGGCAAGGTATTATTTTCAAGGAAGATGAGAATAAAGTTATTAAATGAAATTATTAAAGAACAAATGCATTACCCATGCATATCAGTGATATTGTTTGCTGTGCCTATCTCATGCATGCAGAGCTGCCACAGTATCTATCCTCCTCTCACTATTCCTTCTTTTCCCATGCCATCCCTTCCTCCCTGCTATGGCAGCACAAGCATTCATACAGCCACAAAGCAAACTGAACTGGGACAACCACCCATATTGAAACTTCCTTTTTCCCCCAGGTTAGTTTTAGTAATTTCCCTGACCTGGTTCACTGTATGGCTAGGCAAACATTCATTCATCCTCCCACATAAACCCTCCCTTAAAGCTGCACAGGCAGCGTTTGATCACTTCTTAAGATCAGACTGATGTTCAGATCCACACCTTATCCTCCTTTCCCCAAGCTGACCTGTTTTCCTGAAAGGTACAAGACAGGCACATTACCTATCCCAGTCAGCTCTAAGGAAACAGTGCCTATAGCTGACCAGTACAAATACTGCTGCTGATTCCTCCTAACCCTGCACACCATGGTGATTTCTTGAACATGCATCATTTGCCCAGACAAGAGGCTGCTAATTTCACTTGAGTGAACCACTTCCTTGCCACAGAAAGATCTGAATGTGCCTTTTATCTTCCATTTTAGGAGGCAAAGTGAAATTACTCTTATTGCAACTACTTTTCAGTTCAACTAACAAGGCCCCAAACAATCCACTTCACTCACAAGCCCTTACCCTGTCACATCAACCCTTTTCCTCACTGGATTTCAGGAATCTCATGCATGAATCTCCACAAATCACTCATTCTGATTGCTTTTTCCTCCTTTCACCCCCATGCAGGCCAGCAATCTAACTTGAGCCTCACAGAAGTCAACTTCCTCCTTACTACCAAGTTAAAAGCCTCTAGACTTAGTAACATCCTGTGCCTTTGCCAGCAATTTTTCAACTGCAATTTGGTAGACCCAGATCACCAGGACTAGGTTTGCTTACCCTGCTTTAATTCAACAGCTTATTAGCTTATCAATGGCAGCAAAAGGGGAAGGATAATTAAGTACCCTCTTCATTTTAGCAGTCTGTAAAATTTCACAGCCAGAATATCAGATCCATTTTTGTTTCCAGAATAAAGTGTGCCAACAATACAATTACATGCTGAATATATATTAAAAAAGAGGCAAGGAAATACCAAAGAAGTTCCTTTTTGCGACTAAACAGCTGCAGAGGAACTTGCATAAGGCCATAAGGAGCAATCATTTCAAATGAAAATCAGTGGAGTTGGCAGCATTTAGCTGCCACTTCCACTGCAAGCCATGAATCACTTCACAGAAACATATGACAGTTCTGCCTCATGAGGCCTCAGAGTGGAGAGCTGTGCTGTAAGGAAACTCTGAGTACCAAGCTTACAGGAGACATTATTATGCAAAAGCTGGATCATTTCCGTGGATACTCATCAAAAGAAAGGCTGAGCAAGCCACAGACACCAAGACAGACCACAACACATGTCTGGTCAAGCTCTATGAACCCTCCAAGAATAGGGACTTTTCCCCACTAAATTGAATTATTCATTCATTAAGCTTATTGCAAGAGCTTGGTCATACAGAAGGATGGACCAGCATGTTCAAAGTCCCCCCTCCATTTCCTGTAATTATCACTGACCAATGGCTGATAAGGCTGAAGAACCTTTGAAATAATTATGCAAGTGTAAAACATTCTTAATCTATAGAAGCTAGACACCTAGCAGAATCTACAGCAGACTGCTGCTCGTGGGGAAGATGAGCCTGGAGCACAGACAGCAAAAGAGAACAACAGTGACCATTTTTGTCTCAAGTTAGCCAGCCAGTGCAAGGGAGACAGACAGCTTTGTGCAGACTTCCTTTTTTCCCCATAGCAATTAGTTTCACACACACGGTCTGGTCTGATAGAGGAAGTCCCTCAGTGAGCATTTTCACCAAAAGAGCACCCTAAGAGCCATGGCACTGACGTTTTGGCTACAAGAGCTGAACCTGGGTGCTGACCTCTGGCTTCACCAACACACATTTCCTAACCTCATCTCATGTCAGCTACCAAGATATATCCGGTCCATTGCTCAAGACTCCCAAATTACACTTTTCAAAGAAGAAACCTGAACACAGATGGCCTCTTTTCTGCACATGAAAACCCCAGACCTACTATAAAAGCAGCAGTGCCATGGCTGTGTGCTCAGGTGTGCAGGACTGAAACACTACAAAGTCCTCTCACCCTGAAGACGACAGATTTCTGACAATGCAACATGCAGGCAACAATCTTAATGTATTGATGCTACATCCAGATATCTAAATTATGCAGCCATCATATAACTCGATGGAAGTTCAAGCAAGCAACCATTGCTCTACAGGAATGGTTTGGAAGATCATCTATCATAGAAAGAACTTGCTGAGGCAATTTCAATGCAGTCACATCAGCAGTAAACAAACAGCACAACACTGCCCCATTTTAAGCAGATTTGAAACCCAAACCCTGCTTGATTGCTTTCAACAGCACTGAACTTTAAGACTGCTGTTTCACTCAACAGCTTAAAACAGATGATACTTTTTAATCATTTAATACTGACTGTGCAGCTTTAAAAAGAAAAAAATCCTCAAAGTCACTTAAGAAAGAGTAGCACCTGTTTACTGTTAATTCTTTACAACTAATTCTGCTTTTGTTACCTATTTTTTTTACCTCAAAATTCACTACATGAGTCCCAGAAGAAAGAATATGATGCTTAAATTCTTCTAACCAAGAATGAGCGTATCTAGTATTACAAACAAGGGTTGGAGAAAAAGCTGCTGGTCTCCAACTGTTTGTGATTTTCTTAGAAAGCATATCAGATTTCTTAGATGATAATACTGCTCTAAAAGAGTCAGACTTTGATACACCACTGACTTAATCTTGAACAACATTTCAAGCAATAAATTAGAACAAAAAAACCAAAAACATACACTGAGCAGACTGTAAAGTGGTCACCTAATGAGTCCCAGTGTTCAGCTAAGGAGAGGGTATCATGAAGTAACTGGAGAATTAGATTCTAGTGAAGGATTCCTGGATTTCTGAATTTCTGGATTCCTGGCACCAAAGTAAACTGATAAAGGCTGTATCATGGAGAGATTGAGAAGGCATTAGGTAATCAAACAGCTCAATCAGTTATACAGTTCAGTGCTACTGCAGCAAGAAAACAAATGCTAATTTCAGCTCAGTTTATATACATATGTCTTCAAATTTATCCAAGAAACAATCCACACCAGAGGGATGGAATAGGAGCTAACCTGAAAGAGGCTGGAAAACCATGGCAGGTAATGATTTAAACATGGTTTTCTAACATAGCACACAGGCATGACAGGGCATGGAATTCCCAGATACACGCCAAATGTTTAGTTAGTTAGGGATCCCTTGTACCCAGAAGGTACTTGACCAATACTGCATTTAAAATGTATTCAAAATTCAATCAAGAAGCTAAGAACATCAACAACAACTACAAAATCTGTTAGAAAATATCCAGCAAAATACTCCAGAAGCTTAGTCTATGAGAATCCCACAGAGGAGACTGGTATCAGTTTAAATCCTTGCACAGGGAACTGGAGTTTGGTAACAACCACCAGTCTGGAGGACAAACTGTAACACAAGCCAGTGGCTGGAATTCAAAGCAAGACAAACTCAGGCTGAGATAAGGACATAAATGTCACCAGACGATAACCCCACACTGCAAAAACTTAACTCACACTAATGATGAGGCCAGACTGCTAGATTTCCTTCTAGAAAATCAGCCAATCCCCAGTTACAGATGTGCCTCTTGATTACCAAAGTTAATTAGGTACCACCTTCTCATTCATGTCAAGAGTTCTCTGAACAGATTATTACAATTTCTCCTAATTTTAAGGTCTCTAATTAGTTAGAGAATGTTTAAGCCTTTGAAAGATTTATTCTATGTCATTTGGAGCAAGGAAGCACAAGCCTGAACTCAGGTGCAGAGAATACAAGTAGAAAAAGGAAAAATACATGAATAGAAGGTAATGAAACTCATTTGGTCAGCATGCAAAACAGCAAACTCAAGAAAAAAAAACCATCACTGTTGAGTTCTTTCTGTAGATGGAAATTCTGCCAAGTTACCTCAATTTCTTCCAATACCTTTTCTGATAAGAAGCTCCTTTCCAACACATGGGAAAAACACAAAGCTGTGCGTTAGAAAATCTAGTAAGTGGGAGGCAGAAGCTGGCACTAAGTGCACATCAACTAATTTTAGACTTCAAACTCCTTCCTGTTTTCCTTAAGATATTTTACTTTTCACAGGTCTTTTGTAGCACCAGTAGCACCTCCACAGAACTTCAAATTTACTAAGTACAGTCAGCAACATCTACAAAGCACAGCAAACCTATTTTTCACCATAGTTCTGTTTTACAGATGCAAACACAAGAATTAGGCAGGCTTGGCCAGACAAAATGAAGTTAGACATGCAATGGCTTTGATTCTAACCTTTTATTCAAAACATGAGACTATATTAATTCTGTGGGCTTGAGAGGGACAAGAGCTGTGTAGGATCAGTGTGTTAAAGGATCTTGTGATACATGGTTTGCACCCCTGGGACACTGGCCAGTATAACATACACAATTTAATAGTACTTATGTCAGGGGAGACTGAAGAGAAGTAAAACTGAAATAGTACTAATTTAAATACAAGGTACCAGTTACAGGCCACCTTTGGAAGCAAGTCTAACCCATCTAAAAGATCTCTTCAGGATTTTATTACTTTTCCCTACCCCATCCTTTGCAAGTTCTACAAACTGTGTATTTGTCAACAGCATAACTTAAGTTTATAAGGCAGTCTAATGCCATATTTATATTACCTATCAACTAATACTTGTTTATACAAAAAATTAAAAGCACTGGACATACCAAACAATCATTTAAGTGAACATGGGGATGTACTACCTGGTCCATCACTGCAGGATTTATTATACTTCCCACTTAAATCATTGAGCAGGGCAACATTTCAGGTAATTACTTCAATACTTTCTAGAAGAAATGTAGCATGCTACATCATTTCTCAGCAATCTGTAATTTTACTTTTTGGTAAGTGTTACTAGAAATAGAAAACCAAAAATTCCAATTCTATATGGTAATGATGATATTTTTAAGTGTTTTCAAGTCACCATTAAGTCAATTTTAATGGGCATTAAAGCCAACATTGTCCAGTTAATAAAGTACTAAAATTCTAGGAGAGCTTCACCCCAGACAGCACAGGGTATCTCTTTAGTTTAAATAAGGCCATAATTTGAAGCCACATATTTAGTCCATGATTCACAGCAAAGCTAAAAAGGGAAAGCTACCATTACAGCACAATTGTTGAGGATGAACTTTATAATATTACAACTCTTCACATTTTCATGTATATTTCCAGAGCTGCATTCCTCAAACGGAAAAGATTCAAACTGCTCCCACTGTTCATCAAATACTTCAACACAGAAGTAGAAACATAGCACAAGTACTTGACCTGTAATATTCTTGAGTACCAGAATCACCAATGACCATCCCCAAGAGACACCCTAAAATTTTCACAATTAACTGTGCATTACAGGTAATGTTTTACCTCACGTCACAAGGACATACAGTTGTCCTTAGTTAAGTATAATTATTTTTTTTTCCAGTATTCCAGACACATGTAGACTCCCTGAAAATTGCTTAGCATTCCAGTAACACTTCAGTTTCTTCTCTGGGTCATCAAAAATTCTGCTGGTCTAAACAACTTTAGATCTTTGGTTTTCTTTAACTAAAAGCTCTTGGCCTTTTCTGCTCCAAAAAGGAATAGTTCTAAGCAGAGAATGCAAATTTACAACACATTTGTTACTGCTCTTTCTAATCAACCCTGCCAGAGAAGTTACTGTCCCTGACTGCCCAACAAAGGAGAAGCTGGTCTGCAATGTAAGAATGCAACGTAATACAGGAAAAAGTCAAAGAAATTACCTTCATTACAGGCAGTTCCTCCTCAGTTGCCTTCTCTCTACTTCCTGCAGCCCTTGAGACCCTGATCCCAATCTACACCCTCAAACCACCCAAGATGCAGACCTCTACTTCCTCTTAATGACTCAAATGCCCAATTCAACCTCATGATTAGGATACCTTATCAGGCTGACAGAGACATTAAAGGTCTATAGCATGTTATTACCTTACAAAAAGTGTGATGTCAGAGTTACAGATGATTCAGAGGAAATGAAAATGTGGCCCTGTTGAGGAAAGATGGAATGAAGGCAAAACAACCCAGAGTGTTAGAGGCAAAGAACATAAAAGCCAAAAGAACTTTGGAGACTATTCTACCACCTAGTGCAGTTTTCTTAATTTTATCCTTAATAGCATTACATTTGTCAACAAAGGAAGTAACAATTTCACTGGTCTAATGTTGCTTTTACACTGATAAGAAATTGTCTTAAGAAACTTTAGGTAGAACTTTCATGTCCAAATTAAAAAATAATCAGCAGAACATCCACATGTCAAAAATATACTCAAAAACACTTCAGTTGTTAAACATTGTTTGTTTCTAAAAAGAAGAGCATATTTTTTTAGGATCTGCATTGAGTTTCATTTGGAAATCAGATACAAAGAAGACAATAAAGCCTAGATAAATGAGACAAAAGGAACTCTACAAGCCACGCTTAAGTCACTTGATACATCAAGAAAACATGATATACTAGAGACAAAACCCCTCTGAATTTTTATTTTCTGACATAAAGACACTTCTAGCCCTTTCAGAAGGCATATAATCTACTAAAATAGCCATCTAAAAATAAACCCTTATCAGCATCCTAGGTTTATTTTTCCTTGATACTAGAATAAGTAGGTCTTGTTTCTTAGAAATATGAATAAACACCTTCAGCCTTCAAAATTCACACAAAAAAGTACAGAACCACAGACTTTTTGTTGACTAGTAGTTTATCACTCCTTTCCTTGACCGTTGAGCTAGATAGCACTGTTGCATCTTTTAGGAATTTTTCCTTGTTAAATGCCTAAGGTATGTGAGTTGTGGCATCTAACTATCTGGCTAAGGGAAGGCCACATTCAGCCTAAGCAATAGTGTGAGTCAAACTGTTATTCATGTACAGGATTAATTCAGGAGATCTAGCACTTGAATCATAATTTGTCAGAAAAGTCAGTCTGTACACAGCATTACACTGTGGGTGAATCTCATTTAAATTTTTCATCAGCTGTGTTTACTCTGCCTAAATTATTTAGTTCTAGAAGCGTTTAAGGTTCCACAGAAAAACACAAACCTAAGAGGCCTCCCTCTGATTAGACTATCTGCATGCACAGACAGCTGAGCCCTCCCTGCACAAACCACCACATTCAATTACTGAGAAGACAAACGTTGAAACATAGTGACAAAAAAAAAAATCCCAAGCACTTCTACAAAAACTGTTCCATCTCCCAGCTGCAGTAACTCCTGAGCTTTATAGCTAATAGGTAAATGCTAACAATTAAGAAATCATGAGGGGTATCATCCTGATGGTGTTACTGGACTTAAATGTAGAGCAGGTGAAGAATCTCATTGTTAGTTCAAAGACAAAAATAATAAAAAATAACTCTTTTTCAGAAAAGAGCCCAAATGAATCTTGAAGCTAATACAAATCTACATTTGTGTTACAAATTCCCTCTATTGCCTCCCCTACATCAAATGGATTTGTTTCTGACACGATTCCAAGTTAAAAACACCAAAGGCTTGGTAAAACTTGGTGGGTGTGACACCAATACACTAAACCAGAATGCAAGCTTACTTCACACTGTTCCTTTAGGGCAAGTACTTCACTTATGTATTCTAGCTACAGACCTGAAATCAGAGAGCTCCTAATTACCCATACTCTTATTTGCAAACAGCTCAGCAGACAAACCGATACCAACCCACCTCTAGGAGTAATGTGGGAGGATGCTGATGACATCTTGGAAAGGCTAATTGCATTCGCCAGAAGCCTGAGATCATCTCCAGCCCTTTGCCACCCATTTCCAGAGGGTGAAATCAAAGAATACTGAACTCATTTGCATCCAAAGTACTCCTCCTCACTTTTCACAAACAGGACTAGCAAATAAAGCTGGGTAAGAATGTTGCCAAAATACTTACAGAGTAATAGAAAACAAGGCTTAAAATGATACTGGGAAGTCATCTTGCCTTACCTCTATCAACTGTACGGTCACAATAGTCATGAATCAGGGTACTACTTTGTTACTTTTCATCTACAAATATGTAACAAAAAGATGTTCCCAGCTTGCAAAAGTATTACGTTCCAGAGATTGCAAAAGGCAACTCAGAAAAA